CAGGTTGGATTACAGGGTTTAGTGACTGTGGTCTAGACAACAGAATTCCTGACAATTTGCCAGCAAAGTGGTCTGCTATGCAGGCATGGGCTGGGCTTCTGTCAGTAACTTGACTTCTGATAGGTCTTTAGCGGAGCTGGTTGCTCATAGAACATCAGGAAATCTGTTACATAGACCAAAGCACTAAACCAGGGGTAGGCAACCCAAAACACTCAAAGAGCCACTTGGACCTATTTCCCACCGAAAATAAAACACTGGGATATATTTTTACCTTTATATATCATAAAGGTAAAAAAGGATATANTCATGTGACTATGGCAATGCTGCAATGGTTGTAAGTATGAAAAATGGTCATAAATCACTTTTTTCAGTGCTGCTGTAATTTTGAACAGTCACTAAATGAATTGTTGTAAGTCAAGTAGTACCTGTACTATATTCCCCTGATAGCTTTTGCAGCTTCCTTAGAAATATTTCCAGTTCAATAAATTTCCCATATTTGACCAACTTGATGGTCATTCTTTATCAACTTGATGGTCCACATAGACTGACAACACCTGGACCTCCTCATCTGAGCAATGCAAAGAGTAACAACAACAAAAAAAAAAACCCCCAAGGAAACCCCCTCCAACAGTAGAACAATTATTTGCAAATCTTTTAGTATATTTCCACTTTTGTTTCTTAGTGCCTGTTAAAAAATAACCTGATGTTAGAAACTGTTTAATCTTCGTAAGAACTGCTTGATATGTCTCTCTCTGAACCATAAAATGGGTTTTTCCTTATCCTCAGATATTATGGAAGACAAATGGATTCGTTGTGTGTTACAAGGGAAAAATGAATCTATTATCACATTTCAGATGACAGCTAATGAACAGGGAAAAGTCATCATTCACAACATAAAGCAAAATGGTAAGACCTTTAATCTTGGTAAGCTAAGAAATTTTGGTGTACTTGAATCTATATCAGTGATGGCGAACCTTTTAGAGACCGAGTGCCCAAACTGCAACCCAAAACCCACTTATGCATCGTCGAGTGCTGGGTGGGCGTGGCCCATTGGCTGGGTGTGGCCAATTGGGTGGGCGTGGCCAACTGGGTGGGCGTGGCTGCAGTAGTAACGGCAGACTGGGTGGGACTAAAAAGTTCAATCAATCAATTCCAACTTTGCAAGATCTTTTTTTTTCCCCGCAAGAAGTTGAAATTGATTGATTGAACCTTTTTTTTTTTTTGCACATGATGGCGGAGGCCTAAAGCGAAAAGGTTTTATAAAACCCAGCTGAAGGCCTAGGACTGGAGCGATGACCTGTGTGCCCACAGAGAGGGCTCTGAATGCCGCCTCTGGCACCCATGCCATAGGTTCGCCACCACTGATCTATATCCTCCTAATGTATATCTAGTTCTAAAAAGGGCTGTTTCAGAAATATGGTTTAGGATGGCAGTTATAGAAAAAGATTGTCCCACCTAAAGATAGTCTTCAACTTATGACAATGGAGCCCAAAATTTCTGCTGCTAAGCAAGGCAATTGTCAAGTGAATTTTGCTCCTTTTAATGACCTTTCTTGCCACAGTTGTTAAGTGAATCACAGCAGTTGTTAAGCTGGTAACGCAGTTGTAACGTGAATCTGGCTTCCCCATTGACTTTGCTTGTCAGAAGATCACAAAAGATGATCACATGACCCTGGGACACTGCAATGCTCATAAATATGAGCCAGTTGCCCAGCATCCAAATATTGATCACCTGATTATTTATTTTATTTTATTTTATTTTATTAAATTTATATCCCGCCCTTCTCCTTGTGGACTCAGGGCGGCTAACAATCGAGTAAAAATACACAGATACATTACAAGATTAAAAATTAATTAAAAAGGAAATATTTAACTGTGATCTAATTAAAATATAATTAAAACCCCCTCTAAAAATTTCCCCTAGGCCAGTCCTGCAAGCTGGAATAACCATGTCTTAAGGGCGCGGCGGAAGGAAGGGAGATCAGGGATCA